GCCTGGAGAAGAGGAGGCTGAGGGGAGACCTGATCGCTCTCTACAACTGCCTGAGAGTGTAGCCAGGTGGGGGTCAGCCTCTTCTCCCAAGTAACAAGCGATGGGACAAGAGGAAATGGCCTCAAGTTGTGCCAGGGGAGATATGGTTTGGATGTTAGAAAAATTCCTTCACCAAAAGGGCTGTCAACCACTGGACTAGGCTGCTCAGTAAAGTGGTGAAGTCACCGTCCCTGGAGGCATTTCAAAGGCATGTAGAGCTGGTGCTTAGGGACATGGTTTAGTGATGGACTCGGCAGGGCTAGGTTAATGGTTAGACTTGATAATCTTAAAGGTCTTCTCCAACCTAAACAATTCTGTGATTCTATAAATCTATTTACTTCCTTTCATGTGCTGAAATAACCCCTGAATGCTACTTGACTACACCTGAATGGCCCTCAGAAGAGAGGCAGCTAGAAGCATGCTGCAGAAACTGTTCTGAGAGCATTGAATTACTCCCAGGCCTTTTCTTAAGAGTTTTTTTGATGTGAACTAAGACTGGCCCTGGCCTCTTCTGCTGACTCTGGCTGCCTTCCTGCTCCCTGTCCCCAGATCCACAGAGAGACAAGGCAGGTGGGCACAGAACAGACCAAAATGTCCCACAATTTCACTGCTGCTTCTTCCTACCAAGTAAATGCTACAGAACTAAAAAACCCCGTGAATCAGCCAGTCCTAAATCTCAGAATCTTTGTATCTTGCTGTATATTAAATTCTTGATCTGCAAAGAATCACAAAAATGTCTTTTGAGCTGTGAGACTTCTTAATATATTAATTTTGTATTAATTTGCCTTACAAAGGTGGGAAACTTTAGACAGCTTCATGCAACATGATGTCCAGGAATTATGCCGAGTGGTATGTTTTTACTATTTCTTACTGATCTGTGATGCATAATGTTGTCTCTTGATACTGTGTTTATATAATATAGTTTAGTAACAACCCTAGTAATACTGGCACTGATTGATTTAAATTACGTTGCCAAGACATAGTTTTTTCCTGGGTTTAGTACTCTCTTTTCAAGAATGGGATTGATTGTGGCCGTTTGTGGATGAAGAATTTGTAAAGGATAGGGAAGGCTGAAAATAAAGGAACGTATGCTAGTGGTCATTATATAGCCATGGAGAGAAATGTAGTTTTGAAGATGCAAATGCATCATTATATTTGTGAGGTTTTCCAGGCCCAAAGGAATGTAGCTGGAGTAGTGCTCAGTGCAGTTTTTAGGGGAAAGAAGAGGATTTAAAGGACTGGAGAGGAGATGCCGGTATGAATAGACTAACATTTTAGTTTTACGCAAGTGACTTAAAGTTTAATCAGTGAAGTAGTCATCTGTGTGCGATGAATAAATTAAAAAAAATGCAAGTTTATCCTATGTAAAAACTAATTTTTCTTTCAGCTGCTTGATAACGTGGAAAATAAAATGAAAGGCACGTGTGTAGAAGGCACTATTCCTAAATTGTTCAGAGGGAAGATGGTGGTATGTATTTAATCTATTTATTTTCTTTTTTAAGTAAATTAACTCTTTTACTTGTATACATTGAAATTCTCTGTTTCTTGTTCTTTGTTTACAGTCTTATATCCAATGCAAACACGTAGACTATCGATCTGAACGAATAGAAGATTATTATGACATCCAGCTAAGTATAAAGGGAAAGAAAAATAGTAAGTGATAGATTGTGATATGCACCAATCAAATACTTCAACATGTTGGACATCTTTAGTGCCTGTTGATTTTGAATGGGTTTGTTGGTGCTCAGCACTCTGAAATATCCTTGCTTTAAAACACCACACCGAGAACATTTTCTGCCAAAAATGTTTTTGCTTATCTCTTTTCCCTTCTTCCATTTCCCTTCCCCGTGCCTTCCTCCCTAATTCTCTCATTGATCTCTTTTCATAAAACTCTATGAATTTTAGGAGTTTTCCTGGTGTCATAAAAGCACATAATGTGCCATGGTGATAACAGTAGTGTTGTCTCAGTAGGTTATAATTTGTAGATGAAGATGAACTTGGAGGAAATAGATTCTTATTTAAATGTGACCATAGCAAGAAGCAACTAAAAAGAATTAACTAATTGGAGCGACATAATAGTGGTCCCTTATCATCACTTTACCAACTATTTGGCATACAAGACACGAAAAAGGACATGTAAGAGTCCAGCAAACAGAACCATCTAACTTGATACTTAACAGTTGCAAAGTGAGAATAGAAGATTTGGCAGACAGTGTAACTATGTGATTTTAAAATCTGTTGATATTCTTATCTATGCCACTACAATTTGGTGCATCTCTTGACCTTCTTAAGCAATGGAAAACTCCTTTTTTTTTTTTATTTAATAAAGACAGAAATATTCAAACATAATCTCTCATGTCTTAATATGTTATTTGATTAATACATTGTTAAGCCCCCAGGCTAGAGCAAACTTACATTTTCTCCCTCCGTCCCTACAATTCCCCTATCTCTTTTTCATATAGTTTTTGAGTCCTTCATTGACTACGTTGCAGTGGAACAGTTGGATGGTGATAACAAGTATGATGCAGGAGAACATGGCTTGCAGGTATTTTTCTTTTTTTAATTTTGTTTTAAATTTTATTGCTCTGTCCTTGATAAAATAACTTAACAAAGCTGTGGTAGACAAAAAATATTGCAAAACCCATTCTAGATTGTAGCAACTGATTT